TAAAGCTAGAAATTCAATATGCATATCTTATATATAAAATAAGGAAACGATGGGGAACCGTAAAAGATCCTAATAGTATTTCTGTAATTATTAATTTTTACTATTTTTTTGCTAGTAATTTCTAACTATAATTTTTAATAATTGTCAAAATTAAAACTAACCCGTGAAGAATCCTACCTTATTGCTACTTATGTAATTATTTATTTTTAATATTTTTTATGTACTATTTTTTTAACTATAATTTTCAATAATTATTAATCTCCTATTTTTCATCAATATATCTCAAATCTTAACAAATAAAGCTTGAAATTCGATTTGTTAAATCTTAGTCTATTTATTTGGATTATAAATCTTTATATGTAAGATTTAAAAAAACTAATGTTATATAAAATATGAATAATACTACATTATTAAATTTTGCTATATTAGTGTACTATATTTTCTTATTATGTATTAATTGATTTTTTTTCACTATTTAAATAATATCCGGTGCATCGCAGGGGGAAAAAATGCTATTAAATTTAAAACCAAAATAAAACCTAGCTAGCCGAATAAAAAATCGCCAAAAAAAAAAAAAAAAAAGCCTAACCAAAATAAATACAAAATTCAAACCGCAAAAGCTGTGATCTTAAAATATTGAGTTCACTATAATTTGGGAAAGTTTATCTACTTTTACAGCAATTTCATCATTAACAAACAATACACATAAATAATAAATTATTAATGGTTGATCTGTCACTACATATCTAAAATAATTATCACACTAACCAATGAACTGAATATTAAAAAACAAAAAAATCCATGATGTAGTTTTGTGTTTGTTGGGAAAAAAATGATACAACTTTTGTCCAAAGAATCTTAAACAAATTCCTCAGTATCAAAACAGCTTAAAAGATAACATTTTTTTTTTTTTATATACTCAATAATATATATATAGTTTTGCCTATTTTTTTCTTTTATATTGATACAATGGACCACCCACCATGATAATATCTCATCATTATTTCCATTATTCATGGTAACAATTTACACCTCAATTCCTTAGATAAGGGGTAAAAAAAAGGAGATAAACAAATTTGAAGTCCCTTTTCTTAAGGAATTTGTTAAATTACTAATTATATGAGGAATGAAAATTATAATATTTTTAAGCTGTTATTATTTATTAAGGCAAATTACGGCCAACCCTCTAAAGTATGGTAAAATTACAAAAATTCCCTCATATTTGGATAATTACAATTATCCCATTAACTGTGTATTGTCTTACACGTCCACCTTTACGACAAATTTGCCTACTAAATTAGGGGGGTTCTCGTAATAAAATACATAGTTAAGGGGACGATTGTAATTATCCAAACAAAAAGAGTTTTTTTATAATTTGACTTTACATCAAAGTTGTTGTAATATAATTTGCTCTATTTATTAAGGTGATTCACATTTCACTTTGCAACAACAACAATAATACATTAAACAAAACACATAAAAATGTATTTTTGATCCAAACATTCCCTTATATTTTTTCGATTTTGTAGGCATGTCGATCTTACGAAATTTCCAAGAAATATATTTTTTTTTCCCATTGATTTGCTAGACAAATAGAGTGACACCCTCCTCGAAAACGTACCACTTTTGGTGCAGTACGTACAAACGCTGATTAATTACATCAAATAATTGAGGAATGATATAAATTCAACACATGCACCACACATTATTTATGTGATTATTGCACATGCACGGTTGACTTGTGAGTCTAATTACAATGGACCCCCTTAATTGTGATCTATGAATCATTGTGCTTCAATTAAATTCATCAAATTCTCTTTATTAATTGTTGAATTGTACCCTTGAAAATGAATATTCTCTTTCATTTGCTCATTATAACCTCTTTCATCACTTTTTCCAAAGTAATTCTTGAAAATTCAAGAGCATAATACGATGTATGTTCAAACTTCATTTAGTTGTCAAGAGAAGATTAGACAAAATCAAATCACGTAGTTACCTTTTAAGAACAACATTGTCTAATCGAATTAGTGGAGGTCCGATCCACACAAATTTTCAGTAAGTTAGATTAAAATCCAATTTTTTTTTTATAATTGTTAATCGACTGAGAAATCACTAGACTACTCGAACTTGAAATAAGACCAAATTATTTCATTCATCGCGATTTATTATAACCAACCAAACGAGACGTCGTCTTTTGTATACAGTTATGTTATATACAGTCATAATAATAACTATGTTGATGAATGGAATTAAAATATTTTAAAGAAGCCAATATAATAAGGGGATTTGATTTCCTTGTTATATTGCGAAGTAACATGCAATTATGCTATTGTGTGACATGTGGGTGTATGTATGCCAATTGCCATATGTATATATTCACTCCAAATATATATCAACAAATTCACCAATCTGTATCATGTTATACCATGTTCTTGGGCAAGAAAAATATCTTTCAAAATATGCTCATAAATATCACTTATATACAAAAAGTGAAATGACCAATTTCTCCTTTGGTCATCTATCTTGGCACTATCCAATTGGCCAATTATTTATTAAATTAATTGATTTGTGACTTTTTTTGTCCAACCAAAAAAGTTTCAAAGTTTGTTGAGACTTCCACATATATAGACAAAGTATGCTGTCCCGCAAAGATGGTCTAACTCTGGAGCAAGTAAATTTGTGTTAATTGACTTAAGTTCGAATTTCATTATCAGTGATCATTAGATTGGGTGTGTCACACATAGTTAGCGTGTGTGGTTTCATCGCCCGTATGGTTTGCAAGCTATTATACGAGAATGTAAGATTATCCAATGCACCTAAATGGATGATTGCGGGTTCTTTCATTACAAAAAAAAAAAAAAAGTACGCTTCCTAATATATCGGACAAATTACGGCTACCTCCCTGAAGTAAAGTCTTATTACGAAAACCCCCTCTTGTTTGGGTAATTACAACGACCTGTCAACTATGAATCTTCTTAGACTTCCACCCTAATGGTGTCAAATTCAACATAATCTTCTAGATTCCGTGAAATGTTCTCTATTTTGTACTCGTTTTGTGCAAAAATGCACTTTTTGATTCACCACAATCTGATATTTACAGGCCAAGAGACACATCTTATGTTCATCTTGTTTCACAATGTGGAGTTCGAATGGGGTAAAACATGTACAAACTAAAAAAATATTCCGTATAATCTAGAATATTCCGCTAAATTTTGACCCCTTTATATCATACCAAATTAGTAAAAAAAACTCGTCGTATTATAAATATTACGAAAAGCACCCCTAAATGATGATTTTTTTTTTTTTTTTTGTTTCTTTCTAGGGACAGTTTGCTAAAAAAAGTGGAGTTTTCACTAATATTAATAATACAGAGATTTTTTTAGCAATAAAACTAAACAAAGGGGTGCTGACTGCAATTACCCCTATATATATAAACCCTGCACTTTCTTCTCACTTCCAAGTTTCTCAACTTCTCAACAGAAAGAAAAGAAAAAACAATGGAGAAACGAAGAGCGAATATTCTTTTCTGCACTGCAATTCTTCTTATAACATGTTTCGTACCACACAGCATTGCGAAGAGGAATCAAATCGAAGCGCTTTCGCGCATCTACAAAGAGAAAATGAAGAACAACACACAAATTGACAGGGCGGATTTCAAAGCGAGCCGCCATTCAAATCACGCGGCGGCGAAGATTCAGCCGCGGCAGCAGAAAGAGCTGAAAGACGGCGACAGAATCGAGAGATTGCCCGGTCAGCCGTCGGTTAAATTCAACCAGTACGGCGGTTATATTACCGTGAACCGAACCGCCGGTCGAGCGTTTTATTATTATTTCGCGGAGGCTCAGCATTCTCCCAGTTCGTTGCCTCTTCTTCTCTGGCTTAATGGAGGTGTGTTTTTGTGTGTGTGTGTAATGTGTGTGGATTTTTTTTTTAATTTTTTTAATTTTTTTTTTAATCTTTTTAGTGTGTTAGGTGATAGGAAAAATACAGCTTGGTCACTCGTATTAACACAGATTTCACATTTGGTCTCTCATGTTCACATAAAAACACATTTGCTCTCTCATGTTTAAAAAATTCAACACTTTTAGTCATTTTCGTCAATTTTTCGTTAAAACTAACGGAATCAATCCTATATGCCCATCAATGAATTAACTAACAGACTAACGGTAAATTGACGGAAATGACAAAAAACGTAAAACTATTGATACATTAGGGACTAAATGTATTTTTTTGTGAACATAGGGAACCAAATGTGAATTGATTCAAACTTGATGGATGAAAACTGTAATTTTCCAGTTAGGTGATATATAAATTGATTTTTTTATTTTTATTTTCAATTCAAATTACAGTTAAGCCTCTATACATTAATAATACAACCGGGACTAGCAAAATTGTATTAAAATTAATATATTTAATATTCTTACATAAATCAAACATGTTTAATTATTTAATCTTTGATTAATTTTTTTTTATTTTAATCAGTCATTTCTTGAATTTTTATCTAGGTCCCGGCTGCTCGTCTCTTGCGTTCGGAGCAATGCAGGAGCTAGGACCGTTTCGTGTTCATAGCGACGGCAAAACTCTCTACAAGAACAAGTTTGCGTGGAACCACGGTTCGTACTTTTTTTTTTTTTTATAATTAAAATCTTCGATTAATCGTCGTTTTTATGTTAATAATGTACTAGTACTTTTTTTGGTTCAGCTGCAAATGTATTGTTTCTGGAATCTCCGGCTGGGGTAGGGTTCTCGTATTCGAACACGACCAATGATTTCGTGACAGGTGGCGATCGAAGAACGGCCGACGACAATTATGCGTTTTTAATTAATTGGCTTGAGAGATTTCCAGAGTATAAAGAAAGAGAGTTTTACATCTCTGGTGAGAGTTATGCTGGTCACTATGTACCTCAATTGGCGCACACAATTCTTTACCACAATCTCAAAGCCAAAAACACAATCATCAATCTCAAAGGAATCATTGTAAGTATCTTTTTAATTACTTTTATGCCATCTTTACTTTAATTAGAAATATAATAAAATTTAGTGTAAATTATGAAAAAAACAAACCCTGAACTTGGGCTAAATTACGAAAAACACCCTCACCTATCCATAATTTCCAGAAACCGCCGTCGTTTGTTTTTCCGTCTCACACCAATCCCCTTACGATGTGATTTTTTCATGGAATCTTTTTAATTCCAAAGCATATTCCCTGAAAAATGCCGACTCTACCCCTAGAAACGTAAAACATATTGAAAGTAGTCATGCACATATGTTTTGCCTATGTATGCTCTCATGGTTTATATTAACAATCCAGGAAGTGAGTAACATTGCAATGTGACAATGAGGTTAATGTAGAATGTACTGTTCTTAGGGGTAAAATCGGTATTTTTGGGGAATATTCACTGGAACCAAAAAATCCATGAAAATCGCACTGTAAGGGATTCAATGTAAGACGGAAACAAATATTGGGAGGATTTGATAATTACAGATAGGTAAAGGTGTTTTTGTAATTTAACTTAAGTTTAGGAGTTTTTTTAAAATTAACCTTTGTTATTATTTTATACGTATATATATTCCTTACAATGTGCTACAGGATAAAATTTTGTATGGTAGTATAGTCAATTAGACATATATTATATATTTAATCAATTAGTTATTTATTGGCTGGTCCATTCAACCATGCGTGCCAATAGGGTACCCCATGCCAGCCTAAGCCACTTTGTGTGGAGCAAATTGTTTCTTACTTTATTTCAATTTATTTTTATGCTACTTACAAGTCACATTATTTGAATTTTGAACACACACACTTGTCTACTCAGTCGAAAGTCGAAAGGTTTGCAAGTTATTACACGAGTGTGTAAATTTACCCAATATACCCTAGATAGTTGACTGCACGCTATAACGTCGAACAACTGAATAATAGAACTATAGTAATACACAGTGGCGGAGCTAGAATCATAAGACTCAGGGACGGAACCACGTGGGGCCGGGGGGGCTCCCGCCCAAAAAAGAAATTTCACCTATATTCTATTACTTTTTTAATTGCATTTTGGTATTTATCTATTAATTTATAGACTTTGCACCCCCCAAATTTAAAATTTGTACACTTTTAGTCCATAAAAATATGTTTTTTCTTCTCTTTATTCACCCCTGTATTTTGGCCCCTCAACTAAAAGCTCCTGAGTTCGCCCCTGATAAGACTAAATATTCATCTTGAATTTAG